ATATTTTGATTTCACCGCAAGTATCATACAAAGAATACCCATATATTGAATACAATTTAATATACTCAGAAATTTTAAATAAAACAATGACGTTGGTACATTCAACAATGTATTTTTATTCTATGGAAACAAAAAAGAAGAAAAGACATTAGAATTCGAATAAAATACACTCACTTCTAAGTTGTATCGTATTGATACTTCTGTTGATGGTAATAGGCTAATCAAAATAACACAAGTAAATATGGGACGTAGAATAAGTAATATGCTTTGCATCTTCGGCCACTCAATATTCTGAAATATTTTCTGGGAATCAATGACTATTGTGATAGTAAATACTGTGAATAACGTGATAATTATGAAACACCAATGATATGGAGAAACATATGACCGCATTTGGTCATATTGCATTCGAATGGTTGAATTCGACTCGTTCTGAATTGACATTTTCCATTGTCGAAATTGAATAAAAGTGAATTCAATGGCATAGAATATTGCAAATGAGTTAATTACAACAACAATAAGTGCAGCCATTGCCAGTCCAGTTAACTACAATTATGAGCATATTTAAATAATTAGGTTCAAATAAAAAAAACAAACTTACAAAGCCTCTTTTCATTTGCGAATCATCCAATGAGCTATTGAAAACGTTTTCGATTTGTTCATCTGCACATGTCGTCGTATTATCTAGTTGACGAAGCTTATGTTTTTCGTTATCATCTTTATTCATTGACATAAGCAAGTTTTTGATTTCTTGTACATCATTTAAGTTTGCTGGAGCAGCTACAGCAGTCATTGATGGTTGAAAAAAATGGTCGGCCAATGTATATGAACAAGTATTTCCCTCTTTTTCACTACCAATATATACATATCTGTATAGGAAAAACGGACAAAGGTCAATCGGTCATATAGATGAAAACAAAGCATTGGTCGAACATATAACATCACCCTGACCTTCTAGGTCAAACTTAAATATAGTCTCTTCTCGAGTTCATTATTATTAAACAACTTTTGTTTGACAAGATATCACCACAAAACAGCCAATATGAATTAGCGAAAATATGTTCATAATAGACAAAGACATAGAGTAAAAGACGCCAATACTTCTAAACAATTGAATATATATATACTGCAAGAACCGAGTATATTTAATGGACATCTTTAGTTAAGCAGATAGAGCAATCCAAGATATTCATCATTAGCTGTTTTTAAGAGGAATATTGATCTTGCTGCTTCATCGATCAATGATATAAGAAACAGATAAATATACGAAGATATTCTACTTTGATCTTATTTTTTATTGAGAATATATTCAAAGAGCTCGAAGTAAGTAAGTTGCGCCATTATATGATAGAAGAACTTTTACAGATATTACGCTCAATATGATATCGTTGCTACTATTTACGTTATTGATATGATTTTTTTTGATAGTTCAGAAAATAATCTTTTAAATGAGCAACAAATTGAATTTCGGCGATATGCTTGAGCAGAATATTGCTATGGAGGTTTTCGACAACTGTATTTGAATTGTAGGCTAGTTATATTAATTGAAGAAATGTTTTAGCATGCCTTAATTATTCCCTAAATTTAAGAATTTGTCTTTGATTGAGTCTGTATAAATACATGGGTATCGATTCATCAGCCAAGTGTCTTTTTGCTCGTGTGTTGCACTGCTCACTAGCGACACAAATGAATTTTTGTTATTTAAAAGAGGACAATGTGAAGCAACGAAGATTTTTATATCAATAATGTGAAAAAACATATTATTTGCTTTAGATTCAATTGATTGTAGATTATATTGAAGACTTTTGATAGTTTTTCATATTAACACTGTCAAGAGCAGCAGGCACTCTACAAACAACTTATAATGCTAGTATGTATTTTGAACAAGATATATTCTTATGTTTATATTTATTATTTAAATATATTAGCTTATTACCCGCCGTCACTCATGCCAGGTTATCGAGGTAATTTAATAAATTTGCAAAAACAAAAAAAAAAAAGAAAGAAATAATCAAATTTGTATTTTAGGTCATGTTCCAACTACTCAATATCAATATGGTGAAACATTTGGTAATGCAACAGCAAAATATTTTCAAGATTATCGAAGTGAAGCACTTAATTCATCAAAAAGTCTTTATGCACGAGGTTGATTTTATATCTTATTTTTGTTTATCCTTTAATCTTTTCAAACGTTGGTTTGTTTTTTTTTTTACTAATCTTAGGTGGATATTTTCCAACTCCATATACTCATCAACCAGAACTTGTAATGAGTGATCGTCGTCGTAGTCGTGATCAATATCTTTATATACCAAAATATGCACTTAATAATACGAATGTTGATCGAACAAATGAAATACGAAAATTTTATCAAGTTAATCATTGTTTATTTAATTTAATTTTAATATATAAGACTTTTATGTTCTAGCTTTCTCAAGAACATCGTGATGCATATACAGATCGAAGTGGTACTTTACATCCTGTTGAATATTTTACATTACCTGTATCAAATGAAAGAATGTATGAAGCTAATTTACCATAGTAAGTTGAAATATAAAATTTTTGTTTTTTCAAACTATGTTTTCTTTTTTCTTAATGTCTAGTTCATCAATGCTACTTCGTCATACATCGGATATTAATATTTCGGCGGATCGAAATTTTCCACCAATAAGAAAAGTAGCTAAACAATCAGAATTTCAATTATTTCCTTCATCTACTCAAACTTCGAATAATATTCGTAGTGGATTAGAACAACAGCAACAACCGACAACAAATTCATCGCCAACTGTTGATTATCTATGTTGATTATAATTAATCATAGAAATTGTAATAAATTGTCATCGAACTTTTCAATTTTTTTTTATCTTTAATTTAATTCAATAATCGAAATATATATATATATCTTATTTAAATATTAAACTATTCTTTTTGAATATAAACATGGACGAGAAAATAAATTTTATGCAACAGTAAAGTAGACTAAAAGTATCATTGAAGTGATGGACATAATCTCCATTAATTTCAAAAGATAATACGCGATGCTAAAAGTATCGTAAAAAAGTCGATCAAATAGACTTTTGTAACGAATAACAGAGTTGTTTTATAAACAAATGATTTTAGTTGAAGATTTCAGTCTTTAGTAAATCAATACACAAAAATTTTCAAAACAATAAATAGATTTCATTTAAATGTAAATTCTCTTTTTTTTTTTTGGATTATGCAAGTGTATTGTGTCATTTGGAAGCGCTTATAATCAATTTACGAGGCAGATACAATTGATGAAAATAACTGAAGCAAAACATTTATTGCATTCAAATAAAGATAAGTGATACATTACTTTACGTCGGGTATGAACTGTATCTTTCCCGTTAGAACCGTAGAAAGAGAGAGAGGAAGAGTGAACAGAAGAAAAAAAGGAAAGGGACAAGCGAAGAACCAAAAAAGGAAAAGAGAACATAAAAAGTGAAAGAGGAAAAAGGATAGAAAGAGAGAGTAGTAGCATTGAAACGAATGATTAAAATGTATTAGGCTTTTTACTTTTTATCAATCATCTTATTTTGATGAACGAAGGTCACGTCAATAAATAATATTGATATATCTCCTTAATTTTATTAACACATGATAAATGGAAGATGTGTACGACCCCGAGTCCTTTTGAATTTTCTACCTTGAGGGTACTCCTATCAATGAATATCTTTCGATAGAACACATCGATAAGAAACAATGACCCTCTTACATATGATCTATATCCGTTTGATAATCGTTTTTCCAGATAGTTACATACATAATATTCGATCATTTTTTTTCTATAATGTAATCAATTTAATCAATCGCATCTATGAAGGGACAAGGATATACTGATTGAAGGCCCGTTGTATACTTTTGACGAAGAAGCTACTGTATCGTTACAGGCGATACAGGAAATAATGAACAGATTGATGTGACAAGGAGAAGGGATATGTAATAAATCATGCTCTCACTACTTGGGCACATATATCTTTGTTACATTTAAGCCACTTTAGTTTAATATAGAATTATTGGAAGCTCTCGAAAGATTTGTCAACTGTGGATTTTACACAGAGTTTATCTGTTCACTCAAAATCTAGATATTTGAATGATCGTACAATATCAAGTTGTTTCGAATTCATGTATATTTCTATTTGTGATTGTTTCACTTGTGAATGAAAATTCTTTACGACAGTTTTAAAGATATTTATAGGTTGTTTCCACTTACGAGAGTATTCAAACAGGTTGTGACATACTTCTAATTCTGCTATATTGATAAATTTAATCATATCGAATCGGAGATACGATTATAATGCTGAGATCATCGGCAAAAAGATGAGTAGAGAATGCACATACACAATAGACCAGATCGACATGAAAAATTATGAAGATAAACAGATTTAAAGAGCTACTTTGGAGGAGGCCTACATATATTCTGAGCACTTCGGATTTATAGTCACCAAAAACTATCTATGCCTTTCTGTTTGCTAGTCAATTGATCAGAAGTTTTAAAACTTCTAGCAGCATTTGCATTCGATATAATTTGACGATCAGTTCTCTCATACCAAAGCAAATCGTATGCTTTCTTATAAACTACAAAAATAGCTAGAGTGGAAACATTTTCAGTTAAACTGTTTCTATTTCTTGATACATCGACAGAACTCTTGTTTGCAGCAGACAGCCTTTACTAAATCCCAATTGTTTGAGAGGAATGATGTTGTTGGCATCTGCCCATACTTTCACTCTATCTAATATGATTTTTTTTTTCAAATGTAAATAATAAGACTATTCTGTAATAGATGTTCAATACGTTATATTATATCTTGAATTATAGAAAAAACAAAGTCAATAGTGAATATTAAATCAATTTATTGATTAATATAAATGTTCGCGCTTTATTTTAGTGAAAAAAAAAGAAAGCATAATCTTTCTGTAGAGTATTAAATTTTGCTAAAAACTATTAGAAACAAGAGTATGACAAACGAAATGATAGTAATTTATATATTCCAAACATCCATATATCGAACAGTTTCACTTGGCGTGGTTTTGTTGTCTTCGTATGTGTCTTCTTTTGTCATGCTTGTAATAGAAAACGAATCCAAGTCGTCGTCAATAATACTGAACACTGTACTAGATGAAACTGTACTAATTGTCGATAATGATCTTGTTAAGAATTCTTGTACGATAATTGGTGTATTTTTAGGTTCTTCTAATTGAAATGGTGTAGGAGAAAGAACATGAATATATTTCTCCTCATCTTGTTGTGATTCTTCTTCTTCTTCTTCTTCTTTCATTGAATGGCAATGAATAGATAATGGCGGACTATTCTCTTTATCGTCTTCATCAATACAAAGATTTGATGATACACTAGATTTTGAAGTAGTGGTTGAATCTTCATTACTCGATTTAAAACGACGATTATAGTGGTAAACAGCAATTAACTCAACAGGTTGATAATTATAGAAATGACTGGCATTATGTACTTCTGTAGACAGTTGCTTACGGCTGATACTTTTTTGAGTTTTACATGAAATTATATCAGATTTTTCATGATCAATAATAGGTGATAAATTACATAATGGATATATTAATGGAGTAGACGAGCGATTAGTATTTGAGGTTGACGAAGAAGATTTTGATTGGGTACCATTGGAATTATTTGATGATTGAGATTTATTATCATTCATAGTGTTTTTATGTTGTTGCTTTTCTAAGCTATCTTTATTGGTTTGACTGCGATTATCACTCATTGTATTTGTGGTTGTTGATCGTAGTACAGAATGAGTAACACGTGAAGATTGTGTTTGATATTTTTGTGAGTAATAGTGTGCTTGAGACAAATGATTCCTAGGAACGAATTTCTTAGAATTAATAACAGCATCTGGTGGATGTGGTGGCATGTTATATAACCATGGGCGCGTCGTAACGGATGTATGGATATGAGGATATTGTTGTTGTTGTTGTCGTCGAATTTTTCGATTGTCTACATGTTGCGGTACCATTGGACGACGAAGTAATGGCGTAATTCGTCCCTTAGTTGATCGAATATTTGACTTAGTAAAATCAGCAGGTGCACGATGACAAGCAGAGCAATGATGTACCCAATGGTAATTCGTAACTGGAATGTTAAGCAGAGGTGGCATTGGTGGACACGCACGACACATGTTAGAATAGTTGCTTTTCGTGTATTGAGGTGTTGTTAAAATTGAATTAGAGAAATGTGATAAAGCTGAAGAGTCTGTTGGTAATAGTGGCATGCTGCTCCATCGTAAATTAGGACGGACATATGGTTGTAAAGAAAATTGAAACGATGGCAAAGTTGATGTAGATATCATTGATTGTTTTTGCATGTCTTGTAATTGTGGATGATATGATATCATTGGTTGAGATATTAGCCAATTTGGAGTAAAAGGTATAACAGCAATTGGATTAGCATATTGTTGCCTGACCATTTGTTGAACGACAGGTGTAACAGGTAATGATTTAAAATCTGGTAAAGGTGGTGGTAATGGTAATGACGTAAAAGGTCGTGACATACGATTGAAAAGAAAAGGTGGCATACACTAAAGTATAAATATATATATATATATATATTATAATCATAGTATTTCTTTATTTTAATATAAGTTAAATAAATTTCTTACTAAAGGACCGTCATATAATGGTTGAAAAGGTGGAGATGCTATTGGTGTGAAAGTCATGTTAACGTTTGATGACAAATTCATATTACCATCAATATTTGCAAATTTTTTCTTTGATCCAGCAGGATAAGCTAAATTTTTGTAGTAGCCATAGCCTAGATTTCTTCTAA